ATGAATAAAACCGGTTTCTAAAATTAAAACCGGTTCCAACCTCTAATTTAAACTATCATAAATAAAATTTAAAGATATATAATTTTATTTAGTTATTATAATTTTTTTTAAAGAAAATAATTAACATTTTCTATACCCTTTAATAAACTTACCTTTATCAATTAAGGTTTGTCCATCATAAAAATATCCTAAAGAATAAATAAATAATTTTATTCATTTAATTTATAATTTTTAAATTATATAATATTAAAAAAAAATTTCTAATAAACTTATCTTTTTTGATAGAAAACTAGACTAAGTTATATCGTAAATAATTCCTTCATCTTCCTAATAATAAATCTTTCAAAATTTCTAAAATTTAAGAATAAAATTATTTATATAGTACTTGTACAATGCCAATTTTAAAATTATTGATCAATAAAAATACTAGTTGTTATATGATGATTAGCTAATATGTCTAAATGTTCTGGATATAAAAATTTTATGTTCATGTCTGTAAAACAGTCTAGGAATAGACAGTTCATATCTGTATTCATGTTTCATAACAATACTGCCTATATTAGTTCTATTACATATTTTATTAAACAGTTAAAAGTAAATTCTAATAATCTATTATTCTTTCTTTAAAAAGCTTTTTCATACAGTTTTTGGAAGTTAAAAAGTTCTTACTAAAAAACCCAAACTATAGAGAATAAATCTTTTTCTTGAACTTGCTTATCAAGGATAGTTAAAAATAAAAATAAAAATACTAAAAAATTTTGAATTTATATGTAAAAAGTAAAATATAGAATGTTAATTAACCTTTTTGATAATATTATACAAAAGAAGACATAAATGATGATGATCAAAAGGATAACATCAATTTCTAGAAAATCATATATATCTTATACATCTTCTATGTCATCTATGATATATATTTCTTTTATATGTTATATTTTATTTATTTTTTTTATTTTATTTATGTTATATATTTATTATATTATATTTATTTCATAAATTTTATTTATTTCTTTTATATCTTCGATAACTTTATGTATTTCATTTTATATAAATAAAGGATATTTTCTTTTAGCTTAGTAGAGTATCTTATATCTAGTATATCTGATTTATAGTTTTATTAAATAGTTTAGTTTAATTCTCTTAACATATTTGTACAGTACAGAGCGTTAACTGAAGCAGTACTCTATTGTTATTATTATTAAATAAACTGTTAATTAATCAATACTCTTCTAAAACTAATTATAAAATAAACCTTCTGCTTACTATTACAAAACATTGCTTCACTTATCACTTCTAAGTATATTAAAAAACTGACTATAATAATAATATTATTCTATCAACTCTAGATATTTATGCAATTTTTTTTCGTTTAAATTCCTTTGATAAATATATTGAAACTATTTTTCAAATATGGACTTTTGCATTATGATAGAATCGTAAAAATTATAACAAAGCCTTTTTAGCTTTTTATTAGATATTTTTTATTGGCAACATATAAAGCATCTAATATTAAATGTAATTAAAATGTTTCTTGTAGATTTTAATGATTATTTATTGAAAACTTACACAGTCAAATATGCACAAATATATCATTTAATAATAGTGTTAATGCTATTATTAAATAAACTTGTATACTTGATATGAAATTATATTAAAAAATGCAATTTTTTTATTAACTTATATAAAATTAAAAATAGATACAAACAAGCAATTATTATTTAAAAGAACATATTATACAAAGAAAAGATACCTATATATACTCTTAACTCTAGAATATTTGATAAAAAAAATATTATTATTTTACTAGACTATTTTCGCTAATTATTCTAACATATTAATATAACTGCTAAAACTATAAATGTAATAACTAATGGTAATAAGAAGCAAGAAAAAAGAAAAGAAGACATTCAAAATATAAATTTACTATTTTAAATGAAGATGTTGATATCACATTTTTACCAACAAGTTATAGTATTGTGACCGGGTATCGATTTTGACGATCATAAACCAACAGTTGTGTGGCTAAGTACCAATGTCGATGATGTCAAATATATTTAACATATTTAATATGTTTAATATAGCTAATATGTCTAACATAGCAGATATGTCTAATATAGTTAATATAGTTGATATAGTTAACATAGTTAATATATTAGATATGTCAAAATATGTTATAGAATAGATATAAATACAACCTCTTTTGTTCACTGGAAAGAGGACGGACGGCTGTATTGAATCCCTTTCTTGTAAAGATAGTGCAACACTACTCTTCATCTTGTGTACCTCTATTTCTATTTCTTTTTCTTATCCTCTTGTATATTTTTATTATCTTATTATTCTTTTCATCCCAATAAAGTATTTCTTATTTCTTACCTCGTATCTGAAACTCCTTTCCAATTTACTGTGGAAACTCGTAACTCATGATTAAAGCCGCTCATGTCTAATAAACTTAAATTAAACTTATAAACTAGTAGTAAATTAGCCAAGACTATCATAAACTGACTGGAATTATTACGTGAACTATAAAAGAGTCAACCCTTTGACACCACGTCTAACAGTTGCAACCTGAAAAGTTTGCACGTTAACAATATTCAAGAAGTATATAACAGAGGTCTATGGAGAATTGCACAGTTATGTCATAAATTAGAATATTTAAATATTGCCTATTACACAAAGATTACTGAATTATCAATTTACAGTATTATTCGTTCTTACCTAAAACTCTAATATTTTACCATTATCTTTGTAAAATTATTTCTGATATGACTATTAAAGAAATTGCTAGATCATGTTTTAATTTAAAATACCTCAATCTAAAGGGGTGCTATAATATTAGCATAGTAGCTGTAAATCAGCTTGTTTTACTTAATTCAGATACCTATGTTAAGAATTTTATGAAAACTTTAATACCTTCTGACTTTATTAGAGTAGTTGGTAATTATCTTACATAGAACAATATTGCTAATAATCAATATTCAGCTCAAAACCTTTTATCTTTATGTATGCAGAATAATTTGCAATGATATTCTGATCCAGGGTTGGTTGACTAGAAGAATGATGATCATTGATCAAAATTTTTTGCATTACAAGCAGATTATTCCTGTGCAATAAAAAATAAGTGATCATTGGTCAAGTCTTGTTTGATATATTAATTTTCACATATATTCAAAAAAGAAAACATATTAACTTTTATTCATTATTTTTTCTCTAAACAAATGAGCATCTACATATAATACAGAACTTATTCTAAAAGCAAATAGTGCTGACAAAAACATATATTATGAAAGGCTGAAGAACTTGCAATTTTAAGATTATTAGGCATAAAATCAACTATATATCTTGCAGGATAAATTTACATGTAAAAAGGTATGAAGATTCTATTACATGTGCTTTTATAGAGCTCTTAATATTATATAACAATTCTAATTATATCTCATATCTCCTTAACTTTTTTCTAATAGGATATAAAGCATATAAAAGTATGTAGAAGTTCAACTAACTTTTCTATAAAAATTTTTAAGATATGTATATCTCAAAAGTTATGTATGTATGAGAACAAAAATTTCTTACTATAGGTTTATTACCAATAGATAATAAGAAGCAAGATGTTTACTACCAATAGTAGTGATATTATAAGCCTCAACCTCTATTTCTATAATAGTCAAAATAGAAATGTAATTTTTGTGATTAAGATTTCTAAGAATGATTTTATCTCTGTTATTGTGACTATATTAGCATCTTATCTTTCAGTCTGTCCTTATAACTTTCATCTTCAACAAATTTATCCAACCAGTATACAAAGAAGATGTATGTAATCAGAAAATATGATTTTTGTTTATTTTTTTGAGAATTCAGATAAAAATATAATTCATATTTTTGTCTATCCTCCTCTTTTTCTTGAATAATAATTTTTACATCACGTATTAGTGATATATTCACAATTTTTGCAATTTTTATGTATTCTAGACCAGTTCTGATAACTTTTTTTATTTTATAAATAAAGTATTATTTTATCGAACATATATAAGAAACAATTTACATGAAATAATGCAATGCTTATGCTACATAAAAATCTATATTAATATTCAGTATTTTTTTTTTCTGAACATAAATAAATTTTATCTCACTTTAAAACATAACACTATTTTTTTATCTGAGCCAAATATCACTATAAAAACGTAACACTATATCTGAAATTAGTACACCTTATACTTCAGTTTCATCTCTACTTTTGTTGCTAAAAATAAGTCAGTTTTATTGGCAAACGATATTAAAAATATGATACAGCCAAGCTTATAAATTTTTTACGTAAGGAAAAAGACTTAGGTCTTGATGATGAAAACTTGAAGATAATTCGCAAGAGAAAATTAATGGCCATGCTTTTCTTAAGATGTACAAGGAAGAATTTAAGCATTATGATTTGAAAGAAAAACTTGCGACAAATCTTGTGAACTTCACTAAGGAGTGTAAGGTAAAAAATTAAAAGCGTTCTTCTCGTATCTCAGTTTGAATGAAGTGTTAGCAGAATATAGTCTTGACTTTGATGATATAGATTTTATCTCACTCTTTTCCTCCTAACATATAATATTCAAGACAACAATAAAGTTTTTAAGCATTACATGAAAGAGATTTTAGATAGGTTGTGTTCCTATGGAATTTTATAATCAGACAGCTTAGAGGCTATGCGAAATGAATATATTGTAATACTTCTTTATGCTTCCATCTATATCATTATGGATATAATAGACAAGGAACTTAGCATGCATCTTCAGTATGGAATAATTGGTGAAGAAAGCTGAGGTTAAGTCGATTATGCAATTAAGGTAAAATTTTTTACTACTTAAACTCTATCTGTAATCATGCTAACTTATCATTAACACAAATTATGTAAATATTAGAGTAGGAAGCTGAAGACCTTATCTGTATCACAGAAGATAAATAACATAAGGTTTTCTGTAGATTTTGCTCAGAATATCAAATAGCTTAAGAGCACATGCGAGATGAATAAGAGGAAGAGAAAGTATGTTAAAATAATTTTGATTATCTCGATAGTATTATCACAACAGGTCAAGACTGGTACTTCTTTTTATATAGCCCTGAAAAAATATTCAAGGCAAATGATACTACATATTTGATCAAATTTGTCAAGAAGGCCTTAGAATTAAACTCAAAGTTATACCAATCATTATGTGATAACGTGAAAGAAGTTTTAGGTATAATTGTGAGTTTGTTAATGAATAGGACGTGTGTGAAAGATAAATCAGACAGAAAGAGGTCATGATAGAGAGTTATCGTTCGAAGAATAAGCATGTATAATAATAGTATAGTCTTCATATATTATTGGTAAAGTCCTAAATATTTGTATTTATTTTTTGCATATATTAATAAAAAATTTCTTGGTAAATTTCGCTGACAGGTCATAAGGAAAAACCATATGATATTTTTTATTTTGAATTTTCATATGCAGTATATTAGTTATACATAAAGATCATATCATCTGAGCTTGAATTATTGAAATAGCGTATCACTGAATTTGAGACTGAAAATGTAGAGCTTAGGAAGAAGAATACTGTGATCCCCAGTTTTAGAATTAAACTCTCAATGTTTGATGCTGAAATAGCTGAACTTAAGCATAGGAATGCTAAAGTTTTAAGAGTGAATGAAGAATATAATAAGAAACGTGATGTCAAGATAAAGAAATTAGAGCAGAAAAATGTAAAGCTTGAGGCTAGACTTATGATAGTGAAAAAGAATTCTGTGATAGTGAATGGGCAATCATAGAATGATAAGAAAGTGATACTAGAGATGTTACCAAAGGTATCTGCTAATAATGGTTCTATAGTAGACCAGCTTAAGCAACATGTGCTTGTTTTTAAAGCAAATGATATAGTATTAGAAGTGTTACTAGAGATCAACACTAAGTTACCGGAGAAGAGAGAGATAGATAAATTCTTGAATGAGACACATAAGAAAAGTGTTAGTAATAAAATAAGACAATGCAATAAGGAGAAAAAGCTTCAATGTGAGTCAGCCAAAAATCAAATCCAAGATGTTACTCCTGACTTATCATCTGATACAGAAATCATAGTAGATTTGAAATTATCACATGACAAAAAACTGTTACCAATGATAAAGATTAAAATTCAAAATTATTACTCAACACAGGCGATGATATCTCTGCTTTGTTATTGGATACAAAAGTAACCTAAGACAACTTATCATATGATATGAAAATGATTACTTGTACTGATAGTAAGAATGCTCCATCTGATGAAACGTTTTAGCCAATTGTTATACAACTATTTGATAGAAATCAAGTCACTAAATAAATTTTAAAGCAAAATCTATCTAAACCTATTTTTTCAGTGGTATCAGTTGAACTATATGATGAATCTATCATAAATAACGCAATTAGGGATTTTATACAGAAATTAGCTTATTGGATTGATAAGGTTCAATTCGAACAGATGATTGAGGTGAAAAAAAGATATGATAATTTATCTATTATTAATTCATATGAAACTTCTCAATAATGGGCTATTCATATAAAGACACTTTACAAATATTGATTACTGAAGATTATGAAAGCTATTATCACGTATTCTGTTTTTTCAGATCATCTAGATAAGGAGTAATCAAGACATATTATAGTAACTATGAAGGAAGAGAAGTTACCATTAATTATTATAGACCTAATATTCATAATAGCAAAATGGTTATTTGCTTTGATTGTTAGAAATTAGTAAAGATCACTAATATAAAACCAAAAAAGACATATTTCAGTGAATAGTAGAGATATAGGTATTAGATTAAATCTGAAGACTTGATGAAACATCATTAAAATAACGAATACTTCAAAGCTAATAAATATATAGAAGCCTACCTTTTCGTAAGCTCAAAATTAGAAATATTATGTGAAAAATTTTCTGACTAAGGGGGTATTATATCCTGAAAAAATTACACCTGATTCCTTCTTGCAGTTTAATAAAATAAGTGAGAGCTAAATATTTATCTCATCTATATACATAAAACAAAACAACTTAACTTATCTCAATCAGCCAAAAGCATTGTACTTAGATTGAGAGATGGGACAAAAGTCACAATTGTTTAACTGGTTTAACTGAAAGATTCCAAAAAATATTTTAATTATAAACTATTGCTTTCAACTGAAATATAATTTATTTTTTATGTTATCGCCTATGAAAAAATTGACCAAGGTGTATATGCATAATCTGTCTATTCCTCTAATCTATTTTTTTGAGGAGTTTAGAAAGGTCAATGAAACGATCTTGAGGATTCTTGATTTCTAAATACTACTATAATTATAGCTTTGAAAATTTCTATATGACAGTTATCCAGCGAGCTTACCAGAATTACAAAAAGAAACCCAAATCTTTAGCAAAACAAATTTGGAAGGCAGTGAGAAATGATGGTACTCCTGATGATGTAAAGTTTTAGGTATAAAAAATGAAGGATATTATCTTTCAAGAAAAATTTAATATGAGAAATATTACTTTTTAGCGAAAAATGGTTGGATATATGAGAAGAGAGTCCAATTATAATAATAATTATCTTTTGCAATATTTATACTTATTAAGAAATTATTATATCAGCAAGGCTATATAGTTGTTAGAGATACATATTGGCTTGATATATTAAAATAGCTACAGAATCCTGGATATTATAGTATTCATAAAAGTATAATTCATCAGAATTTCAGAATACAAGATATATAAAATTAAATTATTAGAAATAAAACCTATATGCAATTTACCGTTAAAATATAAATATTATATTTACAGGAAGAATATTACTATGAATTTCACAGACTTAGATAATAATTGTGAGTTTGTACGCTGAATTTTTCAGATTAGTTCTTGACCTAGATCCTAAATATTATCTTAATAAAATAATATATTATCTAACCACAATGCATGTAGGCATATACAATATAAATTTCTGATCCACCTAGTGAAATGTATTATCTGCAGATTTATGTAAATAAAATTATGATCTGCCTATTAATTCAAATAAATCTAAAAATAGAAAAGGTTTTAAATAATACATTAAATTTAACATTAGCTATTGATGGATAGATATTGCCAACTAGATGATCATTTTAGAATTTTGTAATATTGATACCCATTAGACAAGAATATTTATATAAGATACAAGATTTATCTGAAGAAAAACATACAGAAAACTTTTAGCAGAAGAAATATTGAAAATAATTAATTCAATTGGAATTAAAAAATTTGCTGCTTTAATTACTGATAATAGATCAAATATAGCTGTAGCACATAATTTGATTACCAATCAATTTTCAAAAATTTTTAATGTTAAATGCATTATGCATTGTTTCAATTTAATAATTCATGATTTTTTAAATTATAATTTTGCTGATAAAACAATTAAATATTGTAATATAGTAATTAAATTTTTTAAAAAATCACACATTGGTAATGAT